CAGTGTCAATGGTGGTAAGGTGCGATAGTGATAGTGGTGATTGTAGGGTGCGGTAGTGGTGGTGGTGATGATGGTGATAGTGGGGATGGTAGTGATAGGATGGTAGAGGTGGTGGTGGGGCAATGGTGGTGGGAGCGGTGAAAAAGGAGGTGGTGGTGGGGTGTAGAGGTGGTAGTGGTAATGATAGTGGTTGGGCAATGGTAGTTGTGATGGTGGTGGTAGGGTGGTGGCAGCGGTGGTGGTGAGGCAATGATGGTGGTAATGATGATGGTGGCTGAGGGGTGGGGTGGGGATGGTACAGGTAATGGTGGGCTATTCTAAAAATTATTATTTTTTTAAAGTACTAATAAGAAATAATTTCTAGAAACACTTTTAAAAAGTCATTTTAAACACGTCCTTAAGAACCTATTTTTCCTATTAAATTTGAGTTTAATATTAGCCGTCAGATTAACTTTAAATTAAAATTTAAAGAAATCTCAACCACGAATAGCAAAATTTATTTTGTTTATCTTTTGAGATTTGAATTGTATTGTATTTTATTATATAGACTAGTTATTTTCTATGCCTAAATACACGCAATAATAAATAAAAAGTAGTCAATAATAAACATATTTGTATTTACGCCTAAAATCAAATCACAAACATAGAGGAGAGAGAAAGAAATTTAAGTATCGATTATAATGGGGATGAGCGGTGGTAGTGGTGATGAGTAGTAGTGGTGGTGGTGGAAAAACAGTGATGATTGTGGTGGCTGGCGACGATCATAGTGGTGGTGGCAAAAATCGTGGGATTGCAACGGTGATAGAGGTGGTGAATTTTGGGTGACAATGATGGTAGTGACAGTCATGGGTGACGACGATTATGGTGATGGTGGGCGCCGATGATTGTAGTTGGCAGTGGTGGTGGTGGGAGGACGATGGTAGTGGTGACGATGATAATGATGATGATGGGCACTGATAGGTTCTTCTAGGCAACAATGTGTTGGGTTGTGGCAAATGACGGTAGTGGTAGGTGTAATGGAAATAGGTGACAGTGGGTGGCGATAGGAAAAAAACGATGCAAATAAAGAAAAAAAAATTGATAGTTGATTTAGAATATTCTTTTTTTTTATTGCAATTGATATCACTTATTTTTTTTTATTGGTCATTGATATTTTTTTATTAGTAATTAGTCTGACTTTAAATTTTTTAGTGCAATTGATATCACTTGTTATTTTTTGTTAGTGATTAACTTAACTTTGAATTTTTTTATTTTTATGGTGCAAAATCACTTGTTATTTTTTATTGGTGATTAGTTTGCCATTGAATTTTTTTTTATTGGTAATTAACTTGGCTTTGAATACCTACAACTTGAGATTTTTTTTTTTAATATTTAAATATTTTTTCATCTATAAAATCATACAAATATTTTGAGTAAATAAGTCCAATTAGGATCGTTAAGACAAACAAATAATGCTAAGAGAGAAAGTATGACATAATATTGTTTGTGTTAACAATGTTTAAAATATTTGTGAGCGAGAGAGATAGAGAGCTATATACGTATAAAAGTTGGATATATGAGACAGAAAAAGAAAGAGAGTTATATTAGAAATAAGAGTCTTAGAGTTTTAAAAAGAATGATAATTTAATCAGAATCGTTGGATCAATAATCTTCAAACGATTTGAGCCGCAAAAAACTCAAGACAAAGAAATATAACTATTTTATTATATAGATGTTTGTAAAACATGTGTTTGACAATGTATGAATTGAAATTACAATTTAGCCTAAGCAACCATAAACTACAATTCAAAATTAGGATAAAAAGAAAATAAAATTATGCTCACCTCGTTTGGTTTACTTGAAACATTAGTAATAAGCATAAGGGACGACACAATTATCATATATTTAAGGCTGCCCAAGTAGAACATTGTTTGGTGTTTTTGCATTAATGACACAAAAGAGTATGTTATTCTTCAATTCCTCGATCTTTAATTCATGTCATACAATACTTAGAGACATTTGTCGACTTTGGTTAAATCATTGGATAAATCGATTGCTTGGGGCCAATACATTTTGAAAATTAATATAATATGATCCAAAAAAATTGATGCAATAGTATTTTAGAGTGTTGTTGGGTACATGTTATCATTGTTTTTTGCAATAAATTTAAGGGCTAACTTCCTCGTTTTATTTCCTCAGCAATGTTTTTCATAAGCTTTAAACAATTGAGATTTTTGTTGTAAGCCCTTGATCTTTTTGTTTAAGTCATTTTCTTGTGTTTCTTTGTTGTCCATTCACCCTCAATGTTGAAGTTTGCATTCTTGCATCGTTTAGTAAAATCACTTAACAATCAACATTCAACATTTCTATCCTATTGCTAATGTGGATAATTTTTTTGTAGGACAGGCAAGATATCTAGGACTATTAGCTGGTTTCTCTCCTCCCCCCACATTCAAATACCATTTGAATCTCTCTAGGTTGAGAAACTATGTTGAACAATCAATCTTTCATCTAAAGGTGCTGGAGATTTATTCGGATTTCTTACTAACTACCACGTATATCTCTTCCTAGTTAGACATCTACCGAGGGTAGAGGGAAGGCTTCAAGAAAGAAAGAGATGGAAAAAAAAAAGAGAAAAATCATGAAAATAATAAGCAGGCAATATGTACTTTCATGTCAAATTCATCATATATTTAAATCGTGTCATATAAAAAATTACTCAATTTAGTACCACCAGTATTTTGTCCAAACCACACTCAATTTGGAATCGTATTTTTTTATTTTTATTTTTATTTCTAAATTTCATAAGGTCCTTGTAATAATTCATTCTCATGTTATACACGTGTATTTGGTCTGAGACTAACTAGAGTATTTTGAACCAATTTATGCCGAGGGTCTTTTGGAGGCCGGTCTTCTTTTATAGACTTATTTAGACTTCAGTCCATTCAAAAAACTTGTTTGGAATAAGTCCATTTTAATCTCCACTGTCTAAAATATCCTTAATAGTTAAATTTAACCAAAATTTGTTTGAAAAAACTAACAACTTCTAAATTGGGAACTTTATTAGTATTAACAATTCTTAACTTGAGAATTGTGCTAGCATTAAAATTATTTTTTTATCATATTTATTTATATCTATAATTATTTTATCTCTCTTACACACGCAAACATGCGTGCACGCGCGCACACACACACATCTATATATGAGATAAAATAGAAACTTTCAAAATAAAAAAATAATAACATTAAACAGTAACATGTTAAACAAAAAAATAGTAACATCAAATAGTAATATGGTCAACAAAAAAATAGTAACATCAAATAGTACATGTTCAATAAAAAACTTGATTAAAAATTTATTCATTGTAATAGAGTAACAACATACAATGAGTACTTAAAACTATTGTCTTACCCACAACAAAATACATAAAAAAAAAAAATTATAACTGTTTTTACTCTATAGTGTCACTCTATTATATGCTCATAGATTAGCCATTTCATTGTACAACATGCAACAGTGAACTTAAGACCATGGATTGACACGATAGAGTGACAATCAAATTCTATATCTATTTCAATACATATTATACCAAATTTAAACTTGTGACACCTGATTGTCTTTAACCCTCGGCTTGTATCTATAGAGTGACAATCTAAATAGTGACTTGACCATTACAAAAATATATAACAAATTACTTATTTTTATAGAGTGGCTTAATTTCATTTAAATTTTTAAAATTTAAATTGTAGATAAAGTTCAAGGAATATTAAATTAGAAAGGAAGCGCAGAGAAGTTAGAGATAGAAACAAAATAAAGAGAGAGTAACGGTTGAGAGAGAGAGAAAAGGTGGAGAGAGAGAGAATGAGATATGATAATGGAATATTAAAAGTCTCAAATTTAATATTTAAATATTTGAAAATATAAAAAAATGACAATTAGATATGTAGTATTAATGGAAGATGACCGATGAATATTGAAAGTCTCAAACCTAATATTTAGATATTTGAAAACATTGAAACTAACAATGATAGATAGTATTTATGGTAGCGTTAATTAGGTAATGCAAAAAAAGCAATGCTACAAAACTCAAATGAAATCAAAAAAGTTGTAACCCAAATACATATTATCCCTCGGATGAGTGGGTACCATCAATTTTTTTAGTAGGGCCACTCATCTCACACTCATCTAAGGAATGATATGCATTTGAGTTTTAGCTTTTGAGTTTCATTTGGGTTATGTAGTATTTTCTATACAAAAAAAAAAAGAATTTGAAATGTGTACTTAATGACAATAATTTGATGAAAAAGAAGACTTAATGGAGTATAAGTTTGACTGTGGTATTTAAAATCAAATAAATTCTAAAAAAAATACTCACGGTTAAATACCCGTTATGCCAATTAACTTAAGCCCAATATTCGAAGTGGCTTGAAATATCAGCTCAACTAATTTTGAATCGCATTTGGCCTAATTATCGGTCTAGTTAGTTCTTCTACTCGTCTTTATCTGACCCAAAACCCACAAAAGTGTCATTAAATTCACAAATATAAAAATATATTTGAAAAATCATGATTTTAATAAATAAAAGAAACTTTTTTTGGAACATTAGTTCAATAGAAAACTTTTGCAAGTGTGTTTTGCACACTTTTGATTGATTGATTTATTATATTTTTTTTAAAACCAATTCAAGATCTATTACTAACCAAATAGGAGAATTTATCTCTCAACGATTCTTTTACCTGCTAATCACCCCTTCTCAGCCAGCCAATCCGCCCAATCGGCCCTGTTGTTGATAGAGAGCTTACTGGCCCACCCTTTATAGTCACCTTTTTTTTTTATTTTCTGTCAAAAAAATATGTTTAACACAACTTATAGCATAATTGTATTCGAGCTATGTCTAAACTAAATGAAGGGTAAAAGTCCGTACTCTCTTTTGTGGATATGCTATGTCGCTATCCCTTCCAACTACGGTACGGAAGAAGAGAGGTGAGATCTATCTATTGAAATGATATTAGATGAAAGACCGTAATTCACGTTTCGGTACGGAAACAAAGTATTTTTTGGTATCATAACTTTATCCCAACAAATGAGTTTCACAACTTGGTAGCTTTGGACAAGTAGACAAAGGCAGCCACAACTTTATTCAACGACGCTATATCATAATGGCTACTTGGGATCTGTCAAGCTCAAGCTAAAGTCCCCCAGTTTTTTCCCCAATTCTCTATCTTCAGCCATAGAGCTCGCTTTGGCTACGTTGCAGTCCGAGAAATCCTCACCACTCACACCCTTTACTTGTGGATGCAATGCTATGTAGCATGTGGTGGCTGCTCCCTACAAGCACAATAAAATGAACAATTTACATTGAGAGAACGATAACATATTGCTATGTTTTATTCGAGTGAACTGTTTAAGAGGATATAACTTTTGGTACTGAAAGAGTTATTTTTCGATACTGTTTCTCTTTTTTTCGTTCAATAAATATGCAAAGTTTAAAGTTAGGTTATTTTATCATCTCGCTTTATTATTTTCCAGATGGTATTCGTGGAAATCCTTCTGTCTAGTTGCTTAAACAATAGAGAACCAACCTGCTGAACATTTTTAAACATGTATTTGTCAATGCCATTAATAACAACTGCATCAAGCCAAGAACCAAAGCATTAATATCCCAGAACCTCAAAATAAGGAGTAAAAGAAGCAACTTACAAGCTGATTACATCAACAGGCAGAATGTAATGAATTATTCTTGGAAAATGCTACTTGTACTTAAAATATTGATTTGATCAATCATAAGCATTGTATATGTAGTGGGTCATAATAAATATTAGAATCTATAATTAAATCAATGATCATGAGTGATCAAGTCAGCATTTTAAGTCCATGTAGCATTGCTCACTATTCTTACTTGAGCCACTCTAATATGCATTTTTCTCCAATCACCTATTTGCAATTGAGTAATGCTACATAGACTTAAAATGTTGACTTGATCAATCATTGTCACTAATTTAACTATAGGTCTCAATATTTATTAGGATCCACTATCTATTCAACGATTGTGATTGATTAAGTCAGTCAACATTTAAAGTAAAAGTAATATTTTCCTATGCAATCTATTGGATGCTATGTGCTACATTCTTTGCAAGAGTTATACATGTGTTCAAGTGCTGATACAAAGGGCAATCCTTGTGGACCATTACCTTTTGTTTAGAGTACATGATTTACAATTACTAGATATTGTTATTATTGCATTAGGAAAAACATTTAAAAGATTCTGTATTGATATGAATTAGCAAGCCTGAAATGATTTGATTAAAATAGAGCATTTCTGTGGCTTCCGGTAAGGACTTGAACAACATGTATCTACCTAGTTTTCATGTGCTTTAATGCATTTTTCAAGAACATTATAAGATAAGAGTCAAAGGTTTACCATCAAGAAAGCTACGGTGACGGAGAAGATTAGTGACAACAACTCCAGGCTGAAGTGAATTAGCAGTTGTATGTACCCCTTCTTCCTGCTCAATGTAGGGAAAGGAACCAACAATGTCATGTCAAAATTCTAGACTGCTACCATAAATAAACTATACCATGCAGATCAACTTTATATTGTCCGAAATGTCAATTAGATTACAAACCAAACACATACATTAACTATTTCCTTCAAGAGAAAAGAAATATTGCCCAAAGATAATCATATCTTCTCCTCACGTAAATTAAGAGCCTATGCCTTATCTCATAATGAATATCTACATAGGAATTTTCTCACGGCGCATGAAGACATAACACTAGGCTGCTTCTAAGCAGAAGCACCACTAAAAGCTGGTTAGAAAAATATTTTGTGGTAAAAAACACAGTAAAATCTTTTACAGGCTCATTGAGGGAGTCATAAGCATAATATTTTGCCATCGTCTCTTCACCAGCCAAGTTTCAGTATCCAAAGGCCAGTCTTTGTTAAGAGGTAACATTTTCTCTCCTTGTTCTGTTTTGAGGGGGGAAAAGACTTAACCCACCATTCACATTAGAATGTCAAATACACAGGAGAGTACAGATGAAAATATCTGCATGGCCTATCCTAAGAGTATAGACTTTAGCTGGGTAATTAAAAAGCATGATGTCTCCTCCGAACAGCAAACCCCTGGTGAGGTAACCTCTGCATTCAAACCAGTTCAGTTGATTACCTATGCAAGTTAGGTGACAATGGCCTGCTGAATTTGGCTGGAAATGGGTGTCGGTGCCCCCCAAGAATGTCAAATATTTACAATTCGGTTACTTTGCTGATTAAGAAGTAATGCTTTCTTATATGTATCTATATTACATTTTCACTCAACTTACCAGTCACCATGTAGGACATTTAATGGGCATCAGGGGAATCAGCAGAGCAGAAGTTGAAAAAAATAGAGGTAGTGGATAAATGGAAAGGATGAAAACCATGGTAGGGCAAAATTGTATGTTAAGCACAAAAGCTATCCACTTTGGTGTGTAATAGGAACAATCGAATTTTTTTTGATTGCAGAACCTCCCATGCTTTTTTCCTTACATTTTTCTATCTCGAACCATATAAAACTAATTGCTCCATGATGAAAGTATGAGAATGAACTAAACTATATCTGTTTATAGGTTTGTCATTAGGTTCATGGATGTAAAAATTTCAGAACATGAATATCTGTCCGTTAACTTTGGCATTGCTTCACCCAGGCATGGCCAATTTGCCTAGTTTAGAACAAGTAACATTGACTATCCTGTCCAAAGACCACCCCAAACACAAAACCCTTTAGTAGCATATCCAACAGTACAATATTTTAATAGCCCCATGCTATTATATTCAGTAGATTTCTCTCTCACAGACGCACACACACATATGCTTGTCAATAGAGACAATATGAGATATATCCATTACTTAATGTCATTGATGGACCTCTGAAAGAAAATACATCAAGATCATACAATTAGGATGATAGATTACCTTCAAGCGCCATGCAAGTTCATTAGCATGCAATATGTTAGCAAGCTTTGACTGTCCATACTTGTATCTGAGGAGTAAAATCACAATGCAAGGAAAAACACTGCTCTTTAAAGAATTCAACAAACATACTGAAAAATTACAACACAAAATTAAACGCTGCCTAGCAAAAAGTCTACAAATTTGTGCTCTCACTGATTACCTTGTGTCATCGTTGATTTTGTCAAATTGTATTCCTTCACTGTATAGAAACCAGTGACCCTCAGATGAAACATTAATGACCTTCCTTCTACGTTGCATTGAGACGCTGTGTCCTTCATGGTGTCCAACAAAAGATTTGTCAAAAGAAAATGACCTGGAGGATGATATATTCTGTTACATTTGTGTGCTACATGGTTTATGACAAGAGAACAGCATGTCAGTGTAGAGAGAAGAACAAACTGGGCGATGGTTTTACAAAATCATTATGTAATCAGACGACCTGGAACTGAGTTTTAGACAGTAAAACAAAATTGATATTCAATCCTGATGACCTGTTAAGTGACATTTTCAAATCATTATGCAATTGTATAACTTGTTTTTGTTTCTTGTTTTTTTTTTATTTTTTGTCCTCTTAATTTTTAGCCCTATTATTACTCAGTGTGCACTTTGTTTCTAACAAAACTCAATCAACCTAACAAAAAGCAAACATTACGATTGATTAACTTCAGACCATGCTTTCTAATTACCACAAAAGATTTACACGAATGGAGAACCACTGTTAATGACTTCTTTAAGGTTATGAAAGACATTAACTTCGCTACTTGTCAAGAGTCTTCTTGCATCCACAAGTAAACAAATACAACAACATATATTAAGGAACTTTGCAAAGCATACCTAGATGGTTCGTTGCAAAGTGCAGTTCTATGTCGTCTTGGGAAAGCATGAATTGAGGAACCATAACCCCTGCATTGTTACTAGCAGATACAAAGACATAGTTCACTCCTTAGTCCTTACAATTAAGCTTTGGTGAAGAAATGTAAGATGCCTTTGATATTGTCGACCCAATTAATTAAAAAAGACTGTATATAAGCAACCAATTTAGAGTGGTTTCATATAGTTTCTTACATGAGGAGGTTTAGGGGAAGACCCGAGGATTTGTAGTCTGAAGCAAATTTCCTTACTGATGCCATTGAGCTAAGATCTAATTCCATAACCTCGATTTTAGCTGTAGGAATGTCCTGAAGTATATTATCTTTGACTTTCCTACCAGAATCCATATTTCTCACTGCCATAACCACATGAACATGGCGCAAGGCAAGGACCCTTGCTGTCTCCATTCCAATACCACCTGATGCTCCTGAAATTACAGTGGAGTTTGGTTATTGCAATGGAATTCATGTCTTATCAAACGGAACCTCAATGAACAATTGCCTTGGATATCAGTGCCATGAATTCAGCTATACAACTCTTCTTTTGCCATTCATATGTCGTAATGTACTTTCTCACCAACCTGAGCCAATTTATATTTGGATTTCCTCTATTCCCTTGTGTGCTTGTAACTTGACACAAATCAATGAAGCATACACATAGATTTTCTTTCCTTCTTTTTCGGCTTCAAGGTACAGCTACATTAACTTACAAATACCTGATATATGTTACATCAATTTCGTTACTTAATGTTTGCATTAAATTGAATAAAAAACTTATACGTTCAACTTCAAAAGAAAATGAAAACGAAAAGAAGTGGATCTAACTATGGGAAACAGAAAATACATCACAGAGTTGAGCCGAGTTAGATCGCAGCAGACCAAATCCTTCAACGTTTTCGACACCATGGACACTTTACATGAAATGCAATGAGCAAATCCGCCCTATAGGATGAAACAAACACACCTCGATTTGCGCGTATTACATAGTGGGAAACAAAGAGATTGTACCAAAATCAAATATAAGAGAAGCAATTTTTCCAATTCTATCACATGATTCTGAACACGGTTAAATAGACTGTGTAATGCACCAATCCCATGAAATTTGTAAGTCTCAATCATTCGTTGGGGCTCAGATACCGGAAATAAATGAGCGTACTAATGCACAAGGCTTCCTCCATTGCGGAGTCTTACCCTGCAGAGAGGCTTTCTGCGACTCCAACCCATAACATCACGTTAATAACGACGCAACCTTACCATCACGTCAAGCCCACCCTCTGATACCAGAAATAAATAAATATATAAAAAAATAATAGAAAAGAAATGAAAAATATGAAACTGCATAGAAGATTAGGAGGATGAACCATATAGTTGGTCTTAACTGATAGCAAGAACAGTATCAGCAATAAGCAGATACAGTAGAACTTTTCTAGTTTGGTTTCTGAATCAACTAAACAAAGAATAATGACAAATATGCAATTTACATACACCTATTGAAACGAAAAAAAAAAATAGGAGAGAGAAAATATTGGAAAACCCAGCTTAGAATAAGACCTGTAACAATAGCAGTGCGGCCTGTTCCATCAATTCCTAGGGTAATTTCCTTATCTGTAGAACTGGATGAGAACCCAGATGGCCCTTTCTTCCAAAGATCCACATTTTCCCTTTCTAACTTTGAAAACTGATATAGAAAGGTGAAGTACTTTACTTGAGAAACTTAGATATTCAGTGCACAGAGTGAGATTGTGTGGCTTCAGGGGATCTTCCAATGAATGCTAATGAATCAAAACCTGTTGTTTATCTGAGTCAATCATCAAAGAATACTGTTCGGGTGTAATGGGTGTGTTTGGTAGGATAGAATTGGAATTGACTTGAATATGTAGTGTCATGAATTCTTATTCAATCGGACCCAGTTGGAAATTTGGGGTCTTAACTTTTCCATTTTATGCTAAAGTCAGAGAAGGAATGCAGAACACCATTTTTAACTGCAAGAGCTTTCTGTTAATGTCTGCAATTGCTAGTTGCTGGTCAATCCATAGGCAAGGGAAAGCAGGAACAATGCATCACTTGATGTATTATTTTGGGATTTTTTTTGTTTAGCCCCTAAATTTATTATTTTTTTAGGTTAAAAATAACTTCTTTTTTTTGGAGATTATTTAACTTTTTCCTACTATAGCCAAAATAAAAGAGATAATGGAATTTAAATACCTTTTTCAATACTTATTTGATCTTAAGTATCACTTTCAAACTTATCCTCCTTTGAATCTTTTTTTCATCTAATAGTTGTTCATAAGTATACATTTAAAAATATTTTCAAATTCTTTTTAAATGCATTCCATCAGGCCGGGCCTGTATTTGACGGGCCTTGAGTAGTTTGAAAGTCCAGCGGGTATGGACTGGATTGAGTTTTTTCACAGAAGGGCCCGGCCCGGATTGTTAACTAGTCAAAGCCCAGAACCCAACCCACCAGCAGGCTATGGGCTGAAAAATATGGATTGAGTCGGCCCATTTTCAAGTCCTAGGGCAAGACAACAATCCAATCCGACAAAAGTTGGGCTGGGATGAAAAGGCCCAGATAGTTGAATGAGCCCAAGAAACCCTTAACAACAAGGGGACCACTAGAAGGGGAAAGGGGGAAATTTCATTTTAAACCCTACATTTGGCATAAAAACCAACCCTCTAGAAGGCTATGACATTGCTTCTAGAAGGCCACGTGATATCTAGAGCAAAAGCTCTATAACAACTAAATCTTCACTAACAATTCGATTGAACATCATAATTGATTGGTAGTGAATAAATAGGAAGTCAATGCATTAGTTCCAGAGAGAACATTTATACTCATCTTCTTCCTCAACACTCTCAGGATCAAGAGTAGAAGCTTCCATTACAGTGAATTAATCAAGCTCAAGTTCATTAGTTGGGCGAATCACTCAATTCTTGAGCACACTCGTTCATTTAATTTTACACATTCATTACAACTGTCTGCAAACCATACACTTAGCACATCTCATGCTTCTAAATTTCTGTAAGACTTATAACATTTGTTTTGGATTTTCTAGACTGAAAAATGGCATTGATGGGACAAAGCCAGTGAAAGATAGAATGCTGATTTTGATTGTGTGTTCCCCACTTGACCTAAATCTTCATGGAGAATCCGAGAAGTTACCTAGACAATTAACCAAAAGAATTGATGCCAATACATGACTTGCACGAAAAGGTTAGAGATTGACATAAATTTATTAACAAATACAAGTAGACAAAGTCCATTTGAAGTTCTCATTGTCTTTTTCTTTTTTTAGTTTAATGGTAAGATGTGTCTGGATTAGTTTGGGCGTCTTTCAATTAGTTTCCTTTTTGATTTGGTCAAAGATAAACTATTCACGCTGAGATTAAGGTATTTATAAAAGATAAATTTCTCACGACATAATTCTAAAAAATTACCAATTAAAATTCGAATTTAAAACATTTGAATTTATAACACATTGGAGAAATTAACTTAGAGCTACCACTAAAGTTTTCATTATCACCTTTCAACTTTCAAGTTTGGAAATAGGTAAAAGTATTGAAAATAGTATTCTATTGATCGGGGAAATTAAAATGCAAACCTGGTCAACAGCACTGGTGATCAATTGTGACGGGCACCACCCTAGACCCCAGTAATTATATCATTGTCCACCACATGATTCAGTCTCATTTGACTTGATCATGTGGTGATTCAGGTGCCTGTCACAAAGAATCACCAAATACACAGTTGACTCTTTCATACCATTACATGCATAGTATTCACATATTCACCAACCCACTCAAAAACAAAACCAATTCCTAAGCAACCTCATCAACCATTTCAACCTCTGCATGACAGTAACCGTTAGTGAGAGGTTTTTCCTCACCCATGCAACTACCTTTGCCAATTTTAGCCACTATGGGGGCCAAGTCTCTAGGGTGCACATTAACCTTAAGTCCATACTTCATGAACAAGGTCAATGACATCTTTTGCTCCACCACATGCCCCGGCGCCACCGTGAGCCGGTGGCGCAGCAACACGGCCGCTGCTATCGACTTCATTTGCAGGTAAGCTAGGTCCTTGCCCAAACAAATCCTTGGACCAGCATTAAACGCTACGAATTTGAATGAATCGTGAAGAATAAACTTTTGGCCATCCTTTGATAGCCACCTTTCTGGCTTAAACTCCAAGCTATCTTCTCCCCATACGTACTCTAATCGACCAGCCGAATATATCGAATAGGTGATGTTTGAGCCTGCTGGTACAAACGTGCCGTCCGGCAATACGTCATCGGCGATGACATGCTTTGAATCCTCCGGCACCGATGGATATAGCCTAAGAGTCTCTGATAATGCTGCCTTGATGTATGTCAATCGGTCAACTTCTTCAAACACTAGAGGGTCTTCAAGCCACTTAGAGGTATCATCACCACGTGTCTCCATCAGAACGGTGCATATCTCTATCAAGATCTTCTCCTCCACTCTCGAGTTTTGGCTCACAAGCCAGAAGAACCAGCTCAATGCAACTGATGATGTGTCACGACCAGCTAAAATGAAATTGAGGGCCACATTTTGGAGGAATGTGTCTGAATATGAGGACTCCCTTTTCTTCATAAACCTAGAGAGTAGGTCATCATGTGGGGTCGTCCCATTCTGCTGACTCTGTAACTCGAGCTTACGTGTATTGATGACATTGGTCATGTAATCATCCACGTGTTTCATGCCTTGGCTCAAACTCACCTCCATTCCAAGCCCAAGCCATCTCTTGAGCTTCCAAATAATCTCAGGCAAAATAAAGCGTTGCAGTGTGGCTTCAGTGGCTCGATCAAAAGCCGATGCGAAGCTGTTCTCAGGAAGCCCAGCCGATAGAGTCTCTGGGTCCTTACCAAAAGCCAAGCCGCAAATGTTATCAAAAGTGAGCCGAAGCAAGAGGTCTTGAAGATCGACAGGCTTGCCTTCCACTTGAGCCGCTTTGAGAATAGGACAGAACCTGTTCTTTATTGCTCGGCTCACCCATCGAGCCATCGCTTGCCGAAGGGTTCGGGTGGTGAATTCCAGTGCGGCAGTTTTCCTTTGAAACAGCCACGTGTCACCATCAGAATTGAAGATCCCCTCACCAAGAAGATCATGGAACACAGCTTGCCAGGTGGGACCCTTTGGGTAATTATCAAACTTGAGCTTCAGTATATGCTCAAGGTTCTTGGGGTCGCATGTGACAGTCACGAGACCTTGCTTCCGGGCTAAAATTGGAATTGCACATATCAAGGTCTGGTACGTGCCACCACACGCGCGAAGGTTGTCAGCGATCCACTCATGCATGCGATTAGAGTTCTGGATTAAACCCGGCAGGTTGCCCAATAAGGGCCAGACACGTGGACCCTTTGAACCCTTCAATGTCCTCGTGATGGTTTTCAACCATAGTAAATAAGCCACAACCAGTGATAAGAGCATTAGAGCTGTTGATATCTCCATCTGATCTGGACGGCCCCACTTAGTGAAACCGATTGTAAAGAG